TGAACAATTAAAAATAGATGATTGATTTAAACTATAACAACGATAATATCAACTACTTCTTTTTTCTCTTTTCATTCTCGCATAAAATACTTTCAGTTTACACGACTTAACTCCCCTGACTTTATAAAATAATCTTTATCTAAATGATATTTTCAATAGACGTCATGTACAATATATGCAATGTTTTTTTTTGATCTTCACACGAAAGAGAACACAAAAACTATAGGCATACAAAAATGATTCACTTTTTATGAAGAATCACGAGTCACGCAATAGATTATCGAAACAAAAACATATAGTATAAAAAAAAGAATAGTCTATGAGATAAAAATCATAGACTAATGGAGATGCATTTTGAATAAGTAAAAGGTTATATAATTTTTATCTTTCAATCATTATTTTATATTTATATAAAAAAACTAATGTTGATAGATCCCATATTTTCTTCATTCGAATTTAATATTAACAATAACATTAAAATAGATTTTATGATATTTTTACTTATCTATGTATTTACATAGAATTTAATAATCAAATCTAACTATTCGAATAAGTTTTGAGTAGAGTTAAAATATCAAATATAAATAATATTATATTTTAGGTAAATCTTCAAGCAAATCATATTTTTATCATGAGCCAAAGTAATTATCAATTATTTCCAATAAATTCTCAATCTACTGATCCACTAGATGATGCCGATGGAAATGTAGATGACTGTACTACAACGAATAACAGGAAGAAAAATATATTACGATGGATTATTCTGGCCGTAATTCTTATTCTAGTTATTATAGTTATAATTATTATCATAGTAGTCGTCGTTAATAAAAAGAAATCTAAAGAAAAAGCAACAAGTAAATATTCTACATAAAACTATGTTTATATAATAATTAAATTTTTCTCTTTAGTTTTAATATATAACTGTAGTGAAAATTCAACAGGTAAACATGATACATTAAATTATATATATATATATATATGATAATTTTAGGTATTTCGACTAGAAAAGTATTATTTATTATTGCTGATGGTATACCAGCTGATGTTCTGGAACGTGCACCAATTCCAAATATGAAAAAAATTCAAGAAATTGGAAAATATAAACGAGCTTATGTTGGAGGTGATTTGGGTACTTATACACAAACAGCTACAATATCAGCACCTGGTTATATTAATTTATTAACTGGTACATGGGGTAATAAACATAATGTTTATGATAATAAAATAAGTGATCCAAATTATAATTATAAAAATATATTTCGATTAATTAAAGAACAACAAATAAATGAAACAATTGGTATATTTTCAACTTGGCTTGATAATCGTGTTAAACTTATTGGTGAAGGTTTACCACAAGCAGGAAATATAACATTTGATTTTAAATTTGATGGATATGAATTAGATTTAAAGAATTTTCCACATGATTCTCAAAGTCTTTATATTAATCATATTGATCAACATGTAATTAATGAAACTGTAAAATGTATTACAAATAATGGTCCAGATGCTTCATGGGTTTATTTACAATATACAGATGATATGGGACATGCATATGGTGATAGTCCACAAATGTTAGATGCAATTAATATTCTTGATCAACAAATAGGACAAATCTATGAAGCTATTCAATGTCGAATAGATCAACATAAAGAAGAATGGCTTTTAGTTATTACAACAGATCATGGAAGAGATATTCACACAGGTCAAAATCATGGAGGACAATCAGAAAGAGAACGAACAACTTGGATAATAATGAATCATAATGAAACAAATAATTATTTTGAAAATTTTCAACCTAGTATAGTTGATATAATGCCTACAATGATGAGATTTCTCAATATGAAAATTCCATTAGAATCAGAAAGAGAAATTGATGGAATACCATTAATAGGACCAGTATCATTAGTTAAACCTGATTTGAATTTAAATGGAAATAATTTAACAATCAAATGGAAAACTTTAAATAAAACAGGAAATGTTAAAATATGGTTATCAACAACAAATTTATTTAAAGTTGGTTCAATTGATAATTATACATTGATTGGTAATGTATCAATTGAAAATGAAATAGCGACATTTAATATTGAAAAGTATGATTCAAAGTTCTATAAAATTATCTTAGATGGTGAATATAATATGGTCAATAAATGGATTTTTAGATAATAACTTCGAATAGTTTTAGTTTATATTATTTAATATTTTATAATCAGAATAGGACTAATTTATAAGATATGTTAAACTTTCTTATTTTATTGTGTAAAAATTCTTCGATTCACATAGATGATTTATTCGTGAAATCATAAAAAATAAAAATATGAAAGAAATAGTTAATTATAAGGCATTCCAAAATATTCATTAATATTATTATATTCATATTTTGTTTGTTGTGTTTGTTTATTGAATTCTTGAATTTCTCGAGCTGGATATAACCAACTTTTTAAATCAGATTGTTGTCCCATACTTTCAACTGAATATGCAGCTGCTTGCATCATTATATCAAGAGCAAATTGATTGATATTAGTTGTAGTATCACATGCTAAATGATAACATCTATCTTGTCGAATACCTGATGTTCCACCAAGATTTGAACCGAGCATTGAATTGTAACGATTACGTTGTTCTACTGTTTTCAATGCATCTGCACCTGTAAAAAGACCACCTGCTACAACACCAGCAGCTAAGAATGGTCCATAATCACTTCGACCATCAAATGCTGAATGATCCCATGGTAATTTATTTTGATTGAATAAAGTTTGAAATAATGTTGATATTTTTAGACTTCCTGGTCTAGCAGCAGCTGGTGTATTTGATGGAGCTGTTCTTCCATCATATATACCAAATATGAAATTAGGTGATCCTACCATATCTAAATTAATATTGATGAGATAATCTGAAATACGTTCACCAACTACAGTTGAAGTTTTTGCTTCTGCAGCATGAAAAGCAGAACCAAGAAGACCTAATTCTTCACCACCCCAAAAACAAAATTGAACACGATATTTATAAGCATCATAAGTTGATGTTTGCATAAGACGATATAGAGTAGCAGCTAAAGCAAGATTAACTGCAGTACCACTACCTATAGAAATAAAATTGAAGTATATATATATATTAATAAGAATTATCTAATTGATTTTTTACCATTATCATTGATACCTGGACCAGCAGGAACACTATCAGTATGACTTCCAATTAGAATTGTTTGTGTAGGATCACCTGTTAATGTTGCAGCACAAATATTTCCTATAGGAACCAATGGAGCTGTTGCAATAGTAAGACGAACAGTAGCCATTCTTGATGGATCATTGGCTGCATTGACGAGTGTTGTACCAAGAGTATTTGATAGAAATAATGCTGGTATATTACTACCTGTACCGATATTGACATAAATAGGTTGACTACCATCACCAGCTTGTCCATTGTTATAGAATAATAATGCGGCAACTTTATATTTCTCAGCAAGACGAGCTTTTTCTACAAAAGTACAATCACCTCGTTTAACAAGAACTACAAGACCAGCAGGTGGTGGACGTGCTGCAAGCCAATCTTCATCAGAACAACCTAAATTAGGAATAGCTGTGAGAAGAACATTTTCATTAAGAGTAACTGATGTTGAATATTGAACATGATAGAATTCTCCTGAAGTTGAATAAGTATGTGTTTTAGCAACTCCATTAATTGTTGATATTAATGTTGGATTACGTTGAAGTGAGAAAGTTCCTCTTTTAAAATAACGTCTCAATACTTTAAAATTTGTATTTGCAGTAAGAGAATTCTCGATATAGTCAAGAGTATTATTAAAACCAATTGTGCCAACTGCTCGATTTTTTCCAGTTGTAGCCATTGCAATTTTCTGTAATTCATTCAAATGATTCATAACTTCATCGATTTTCATTGATGGTGCAAGTTGTTCATTAGCAGATTGTTTAGATAATTCAATTCGATCTTTATTCACTGACATTGCACTAATTAAACCAATAATCCCGAAAATAATTCCAATGAATAGCATTGTTCGCATTTTCATTATTATTCAAGATCCTACTGAGACACTGGAAATTATATGTTAATAGACTTGTATATATATATATGATGAAAACAGTTTATTACGATGTTATTGGTCTTATTCCCTTATCAATTTATTTTTATTGTTATAAATAAAAGATAATCTTCAAAATACTTGATTTTTATAATATGATAATAAAATTCTACATGCCTAAAGTTCCTTTATGATGATCACAAGACTAGTTTTTATTATTATTCATTCGCAATTGATAAGTTCTTTTTCTTTAATAATAAAATTCTATTCATGATTTATGAATTAGATCAAAGTACTTATTAGTATATATATAATCAAAGAAAATATAATAAATATTTTATTTGTTCAGCCAATCACATGAAGATAAATATTTCTAATCATCTAGTAATAAGCCTCGAGATGCTATATTTATCTATTTTTATTAAACATACAAATAAACACATACAAAATAGTGACATTAAATTGAATAGAGAAAAAAATCATTACTTTATTAAGTTGATTAAAAATTATTTTTAACAGCATTCGTATCTATTTTACTTTTCTACATGCAATATATTCATAATGCAATTCATTCTTACATATCTGCTTAGTTTTGAATGGAAAAATAAATTATTTTTATTAATTTATTAGTAAGGAATAAAATTGATACAATACTTTAGAAGTTTTTTAAACTGTAGATTTATTATTTTTAAGAAATTCATTAGTAGAGATAGCTTTAGCATAAGCAAATCCAAGTGCAGCCATAAATGCGGCATGTACGTGTTCAGCTGGAACTTGTATACCATTAAATTCAAGAGCACGAGATGCACAAGCATCATGAATAAGAATACAATTATATCCAAAATCATGTGCAGCACGAGTAATTGCATCAATACACATATGGCTCATTGCACCACAAATAACAACATCACGAATTCCATGACTATCAAGAAGGTTCTTAAGTTTTGTATCTCGAAATGCATTAATATGATTTTTAACGATAATATGTTCATCTTCACGATTTTCAACTTTCGAATGTATTTCAGCTCCTTTTGATCCTGGTGCAAAAAATGGAGCATCATTTGTTGGAAATTCATGACGAATATGAACAATTAAATCATCTGATGCACGTGATGCTGTAATTAATCGAGCTGCATTATCAGCAGCAGCATCCATACCATGAAGAGTCCATTTACCACCTGGAAAATAATCATTTTGAATATCAACAATAATTAATGCTTGATGAGTTTTTTTTTGATTAATAATAAGTGGTTTATTGATATCTTCTGGTTTAAGATGAGCTAAATCTTCAATTTCTTCAGAACGATGAAGTGGTGGTTGATCGGCCATTTTATTCAAGTTTTTCTTAAGATCAGATCACTACTATTGTTATTGTCTACTATGATAATTTAGCTCTATTTATATTATACTGCAATTGGATTGATGTGAGAAATACCAATGATTTTCGATGCTTACATTAGTATTGATAGGTAGTGTCATCTTTCGTTCGACAGAAAAGGAAAATATTTCAAATGAAAATTGATGTTTGATTTCATCATTAAACAATACTCTAGTATAATTAATATACGCCTAAATCTATCACTATCAAGTGACATCCGGTGTTAACAATAATATGTAATCTGTTCAATTGGGAAAAGTATTAAATATAATATACAATACGAGAGACAAATTTTCCGATATAAATAAAAATTGAGAAAGAAAATAGAATGGATATGATACACCCACACTCTTTTATCTTGTTTCCAAAGGTTTTGAATGTGTACAAAGAGATAATGATTGAATAAGATTAACTACCAACAAACATTTTCTTTTGAAATTCCATGACTGCCATATCTAATTCATATATAATACGAGATGAATTCAATTCCACATGTAACGAGCCATTGTTACAAGTAAGAATGTAATATTACTTTATAAATCATCTTCAATATGATCGAAAAATATGTAAATATAGTGAACTCATACCTATCGATTTCTAGAAGTCTTTGATCACTACCTCTTTCAATTCTAGCACTATTCCAAGTTCCTATCACATCCATACTTAATTGAAAGACGTTTATAATTATTATTATCAGTCGTAGTGATATCAAAGATCATAGAAACAAAACATGTCAAATTCATTTCATCCTATATTTTCAATAGTTATCATTTCTTTCAACAAAAAAAAATAAACAAAAAAAAGCTCATTTCAATCGACGTCGACGTACAAAAAAGAGTTCAGAGTTATTATAGACTCGATAATCTTTAATTCGTCGATTATTATTAATTAGTTGTTGTTGTTGATCACACGTAGATAATGAATATTTTTTCCAAATAGTTTTCCAGTTAATATCTTTGTCTGAAAATTTTTCTTTAATTGCTTTTTTTAAATGAAAAACATGAGCTTCTTCAGGTACATAAATATTAATTATTGAATCATCAAAACGTCGAATAGAAATAGATATCGATTGATCTTGTTGTACTTGATTTAATTTGGAAAAAGATATTTTTGAAGGATGACAATGAATATCAGAAAATAGAGGATCAGAAGATATTATTGTTGATAAACGAGAATAGATTTGAGAAACAAATTGATCATGTGACATAGTTTTTTTTTATTTATTTTGTTTGTGTTGAATCATAAGAAATTTTATCAATTTGTTCTTGTAATTTTTGTTTAATCATTGTTACTGCTGTTGATTGAACAAATAAATGTTGTTCATCTAATCGATTTAAAATAAATTTTTCTCCAAATGCTAATGTTTCATCTAAATAAATTAAATATTGAATTATAGCTGGATCGCATTTGAGCAATGCACCTTTAACGACATTAACCATATCTAAACAAATAAAATTCAATCAATATGGATTATATTATTGAGTTTTTCTTCTTGAATGCTGACTACTTTATGAATTTTCGTAGTGCATTCTAGGATGCATAAAAAGCTGGATGACATTGTTTGAAGTATGTAGATCTCATATGTAAACCGTTCAACTAAGTATTACTATTCACTATAATCTATTGTCAACTCTTAAAAATTCAAATCAGTATAACGAATTTATCAGAAAGTAATGTAGAAGAATTAGATGAATTTTTATATGGATATTTAGCAATACTTAAACAAACAATGATTATATATCTGTTTAATATTTTTTGAATAAAATAGTTAAAAGAAAAGAAACATATGATCGATTTTTATGTGGAAAGATATTCACCAATTGTATATTTATCTACATAGTGACATCTTTTTCTTATATGAAAATATATTTCCATAGATTTCAGAAGGTTTATTAACAAATAACTAAATAAGTTTTATAGATTAAAACTTCCATATGATACATACAATAGATCTCTTCTTTTTGCTAATATCATACACAAAAGATTCATTTTCAGTTTTTGCTGAGAAAAACTATCGGTATGCCGGATGAACTTCATATCATAAATTATAGGGGCGGATCTAGCTATTAGGCTAACCAGCCACCGCCATCCCCTCGAAAACAGGTAGAACACTATAGGTATCTCTTTTAAAAAATAATACTAAGTTCCACTTTTTTTTATAAACCACCACCCTGTCATGGAAATCCTGGACCCGCTCCTGATCATAAATACTAATTTATTTGATAATAATAATTTATGATTGTGCTTGCCGATTTCAAAAGATCGTAATTCAAATGATTTAGACTATTATTTATATTAGTCAATAATCGTTAAAGTCTAGTCATATTTAGTTTGAAATAAATCTTTCAATGACTAGATCAATAAAAACTTTTATTGACATTGATCAATTAATTTTCCATCTAATTTAACTATAAATATTGAATGTTACGCCATGAAATGATTAACTATTATGATGCAATAGATTCTTTACTCGTGCTATTCTACTTTCATATACGATTAGAAATTTTTCTTGATATTAGAAAAAAAAACTTGATGTATTAAATGTTTAATCTTACGAGTCACTATTCCTTAGAGATCTCTAATGATGTAAGTACAATTTTATCTTAAACCACCTTATTATCATATATAAATGAAACTGTTTATTGAATTTAAAATTCTCTCATGAAATGGTCATCAGCATTTTTGTTGTATTATATAAAATAAGGTAAATACTTCCTATGTTAGCACGTGTCTACGTCAATTGTCTTTAGTAATCTGTCGGCACATGCGATCTTTTGTTTGTCCATAATCACGTTCATGTCAACAAAAGAAGAAGAAGAAGAAGGAGAAAAAAATGACTTCGTTCTATTTGTTCAAAGATAATTGGCCTTCAACTGTATTCTTAGTCTTACTTCCGAGTGGTATAAATAGTTTGAAATCTATTGTTGAATAATTGTCTTAATAAGTAATAAAAAAATATTTCTTCTTCCGTTTCTAGCCAACACAAAAAGAGAAAGAAAGTAATTAATTATTTTATACAAACAAAAAAAAGATATTATAGGATCGTATCTTTAGACTTGATAGACCTAAGAGAACTAACCCACATTCTTTTTCATATTAAAAATCATTCATATGAATATAAAATCAATATTATTTGTAATTAAAAAACACTTAGTATATATGTTTATAGAACATTTTTTTTTCTTGGTGTGAGTGTTATTAATTATTTTCTCTCTAAACTTGTTTGTGATTTATACTAATAATAATATGAAGTGGAAGAAAAACTGTTAAATTACGAAGAATTATGTAACTTGGATTTACATTTAAATAATTGATTATGTCATAAAAAGAAAGAAAAATTCATTTTTACAGTTTGTTTTGGTTGATGAAGCAGAAAGATGATACTTTATTAATTAAAAAAACATTAAAAAAAAGAAAGAAAGAACTAATCTTTTCTTCGTGTATATCCTAAAAACAATCACGATTTATATATATGTTATATCCCTATTGAATAATCTAATTTTCATTGAACATTGAAATGAAGTTCATTTCTCCAAAGTGCTTTTCTTTTTCTTTTCCTTACCGACCGACATCTTATTAGTGATAATCATAAATCTAAATAAATCTGAACATACAATGGACATTGTATTATGACGTAAGAATAATGAACACCTTTGCTCCATTGATAATGCATAATGATCTTTTTCTTTTTTTTTTTTGTTTCGAATCATCGTATGTGACGATTAACAAGGTTAATGCTTGACACATACGAAGCAGAAAATTAAATTGTGATATATGTTTCATGCTACGAGCACTTTCTCAATGTCACACAAATACAAACTATTATTATAGAAAAGAAAACACTTGTTATTTTATTTTATTGAAACAGAGTAATAATACCTTGAAAAACACATTTTGTTGTTACTTGTTAGATATTTTATCATAAAAAAAAAGAAATAGAACATCAAATAAATCATTTGCACAGAAATACAAGAGAAAAGCCACGAAGAAAAAAAAAAGAAGAAAATTCTCTCTCTATATATATGTGTTTATTCACCGGATATATTTACGGCACTGAAAAAATGAATTTGATATATATAAATAGTTATTTTTTCATACTAATTAAATCCAACTAATGAATAAACTTAATATCCACCACCATTGCCATGAAAATTTTTTTCTTATTGAATTTGATAAAAAATTCTTACTAGTTGTTATTGTTTGATTTTTCTTTCTCTTTTGTGTTTTATTATATGATAAGGCTGTACGTCCATTTCGATTTATTTCATCTGTATAAATTTTTTGTTTTACTTTTCGAATTCTTGAAACTAAAAACAAAACAAAAACTAAAATCAAAAAAAGAAAATCTTATTTTTCATACTTTGTTGAATTGAAGTATAATCTGATTTATATCCTAAAATATTATCCGCACGACATTCATATTGACCAAATTGATACTCATTTATATTCTTAACAAAAAAACAAATGCATACTATTGTTTTTCTATAAATAATGACATACAATAATTTTCATAAGTGATTCGGAACATTGATCATCAATGATTTGTGTTTTAATATCAATATTAACATCTATAATTTGTTGATTTTCTCTAAACCAATAGATATGATTGACTTGTGGTATTGAACATACTCGACATTTAATTACAACTGTATCATGAAGTATATTTCTTATTTTATCATTTAATATTAATACATGAGGGACATCTAAACGACAAGATTATATAATATAAAAGAATGGAATAATTATCATCATTAAACTTACATTGAACAGTAACATAAAAAGCACGACTAATCGATGCATGATACATATTTGAAGCAACACATTCATATAAACCACTATCTGATGGTTGAATAGATGTTAAATATAGATTTTCACCATGATGTATACCTGAAAGAATTACTTGGATTATTTTTTTAATTAATTAAAAAACGATTGAATTATTCATACTTTTTGAATGTTTGATTTTATTTTTAAAAATCCAACTTATATTAACAGATGGAATAGCAAAAGCATGACAAGATAAATTCAATGAAGAACCTTCTGGATATGAAATACTTCCTTCCAATGGATAATATGATACAAAATGTGGCGCAACTAAAACCAAAAAAAAAAATTATCTTTATGTATTTTTTTCCACCTTTCATAATATACTTAAGTTATCACATAACTAACTTTTATGTATCTATCACTAAAAGGTCAAGAAATCTTTTGTTCATACAGATGGATCATTAACGCTAATTTATTGAGATGCCTGTCAAGATTATGATAGAGAAAAAGAATGCAATTAACACCAATAGATATACACACTCTCTATCACACTCTATGGGAATCGTCTCAAAGAAAGATAAATGATGATGAATCAATAGTTCCTTATTGTTTTCTTATTCATTCAATCAACACATCTATAGTAAAAAGACAAAAGACTGGTATATGAGTCGAGACTAATTTTATTATAGTGATTCAATTGAATAAAACTTACCAAGTATTTCAATTAAAAATGAAATTAATTTTTCATCATTAAACATACATGTATAAAGACCTGAATCATTTAAATTAACGGATTTTAATATTAAATCTAAACGATTTGATGAAAATTGTTTTAATTCAATATTTGATTGATAAACAAATAATTCTGATCCAACTGATAATATATCACCTGTCATTTGACGCATAAAAGATACCTAAAAAGAGACATTGTCTTCAAAGTTTATTCATATAGACAGTTGTCAAATGTTTCAAGTATTATCAACATATGTTCAATTGTCAAAATGATTTTTATTCATTAATTTGCGCCTTTTCTTTTAATATGAATAATGATGAAGAGCTCTTGAAAAAGAAAATATATGTCGAAGTTGAGTCTAATTGTCATTGACCTATGAAATGATCAATCTATTGGACAAGGCGCAATGTTATATTACGCAAAAGATGGTCATCTGGGATTTTCAGAGTAGAGTTGATTAAAAAAAGAAAGAAAACCTTTTTCTTACACCTATCATTGTCATCAATATGTGCGTGTTTTGATTATAATAGACCCTTGACGGTATGATGTATCGAGTAATATATATATACGAACTGTTGATCGATGAAGAGAGAAATCTTCTACTTGAAATGGATAATCGAAAAACGATATAGACATACTCATCGATGAATAAATATACACATAGTTTATATGAATAGAACAAACAGACTGTTTATTCAAGAGAAAACAATAGATCACATAAATCAATACTTTTCTCAGTGTATACATTTTTTGTGAGGCAATACTCCGCCTCTTCACTGATTTATTTTTAGTGTTCTGATGTAATTATTTTACCTGTTCGATTTTATCATCATCGAATATACAAGACATGATAATATCTTGACCGACATCAGCTTTTAATACTTGATGATAATCATTTGTTGATAAAGTTTTGTCAAAATAGTAGATAAAAATGATTAAACATTGCAATAGAAAATAATATACACACCACGACGGCATGACTGATGATTGAATGAATGCGAGACAAGAAGAGAAAGAGAGAAAGAGGAAACGAGAATGAGTAAGTGAAAGAGAGAGACAGAGGGAGAGAGAGAGTGGAAAAAGTTTTGCTTTTCTTTTACAAGGGATTGTATGTCTAGTAAGATGGACGCTTGTGTGTGTGTGTATGATAATTGCACTCTCTATTCTTTTTGTTGCACACACACAAATTTATTTCATCTCATCCGCTCGAGGCACACAAATGAAGACGTGTGATGGACGATGGGCGTTGTTATAAAAGGAGAAGAAAGAATTGTGTGTGTGTGTGTGTGTTCATTTCGCATTTTTTCCTTCCTGTGAATTGCTTTACTAGAGGTACAAATGATCATAATCATCAATTGTTGTTGATTGCACATTTTAAATAAGAGTGGAAGTCGTTTTGCCTTTAGGAGTTTTATAACTACCTTTTCTTTTTTTTTCGTTACTTGCGTCATACAATTCGAATAATATTCTATGTTCAACATATATTGATTTAGTTTGGCACGAGATATTAATAATGCATTGAAAAGCACAATAATAATTAATGATAATGTTGAGGAGAAAAAAGAAAGGAAACATGTATTATCTAGTTGAGTAAATCTTCTAACTTAGTTCATTTGAATAAATTCGAATTAATTAATTAATTTCATCATCACGGAATTATCCAATTAAACATTGAGTATAAAGATATCATAAAGAAATGATAAATGTGCATTTCTTATGGTTATTATCTTGTTTACTATGTTAAAATAAAAATATTCATACAATTCAATAATGTTAACATCATTGTATAATGAATAGAAATTCTTTATTAAAAAATATTAATAGTAGAAGAAATGCACACAATGAATATATATGTCATAAGTGAACACAAGTATTGTTTAGTTTCATGCCTTATTATTCAAAGAAAACTGATCACTGATTATAGTATTGCCATAACTAAATCTTCGATTTCATTACTTTATAAAGATATATGTGTTAAGGATCTATTGGTTAATAACATGATAGATAGTTCCATCACATTAATATTCGATATTTTATTTTTTTTCTAAAAACAACAACTCAAGAGTTTGATTGTTTTTTAATGCAGTAACTAATTGAGCGACACCGTCATGTTCGAATGGATTATTGTCCACTCGAAACAATGTTAACATTGAATTTAACAGAAGTAGATTACTCAAACTAGTGTGTGTTTCTTGTTAATTTTCTAACTTTGATTATGATGAATGTTTGTAGAGTTTAATACTGATTTATGTGAGTTCGTTATTACCGATTGCAAAGGAATAGATATAGATAATATTTCATTGTTAGCTATGTGATTAGTATGTCTATTAACTGGTTTAGTTGAAACTGTACAGCAAGTAATGGGTGGTTTTGTTTTTCTTTCAAATATATAATAAAATGATCTGGTGTAGGATTAAACTTGTCAAGTACTTGAACTCGAGTAGCTAGTGTAGAAATAAGAATGTCGATGAATTTCTTTCTCCAATTCACATTCTAGACTAAATAAAGTTCTTAAACCACTTTTGCCTAGAAACTTATGACTCGAGTAATGTGACGGAATCTATACGCGAACTTCTCTTTACTAATCCATATATCACGTGCAACGTTTTAAATAATATTTTCCGATAAGTCCTACACTTATATCGAGTGACATAAGAGGAAGATCTTCATCATCTCTAATTCTATATTAAATATATCTTTAAAAATAAAATCATTCACAAAATCTACTAACATATCGTACGATAATACGTAAGTGACATGTCATTTTAGTTTCTTTGATTGATATGACAAAGCACGCAAAGATATACTTTGAGACGAGTAGATGATATTAAAAAAAAGACAAGGTTATAAATAAATTATTTTCAATCAAATAGTTTTTTATTCTAAGAAGATCTACATTTATATGTTAATTTCGTTATACAAAAGACTTGGAAAAAAATTTTGTGCAAGTTTTTTTGGCGACTAGTGTATAAAGAAATCTTTATCTATGTCTGAACATATTTTACTAGAACAACGAAATTTATATTATAAAACTTGTAAAAAATAGAATGACACACGAAGAGAAACGAATCTATATATTTGTCAAATTAAAATATATCATTTTGAAAACTTATAAGATTAGTTATTAGAAAATTTTCATTCTTTTTTATCTGTCCTATTTATTGAATCATAGTGAATAAATATTGTCTGTTGAATTTGAATTCTAATTATATAGATCAAAGATTATATGAATGTTAACAATGAATATATTGTATCATTTTTGTTAATGTCTATTTATAGTTTATTTATATTATATAAATATCACATAAACCATTCAGAAGGATATTGTTAATGATCAGCATATGTATGGAAATACTATTTTATAATAACTTATGTTATTGCTATTATTTAAATTTTCAATGTAGTCCACTTAGGATAGTAAGAAACCATAAACATTATTAAATTTTTATAGTAAATTTCAATGTCTTTAAACTAAAATAATTACTGATAATTGCCAGAAGAAATTTGTTTTGTTAATCTACGAACTCGTCATCTCAATTTTTATTTCATTTAAAAAGAGATAAAAGTCAATTGACTGTTAATTGAAATATATTAGCACGACTGTATATGTTATAATAGCCTTGATAATATCATTAAGCAATGGCATCGAGTAGAATATTCAACATATTTTTTTTATAATAAAGCGTTATTCATTACCAGTAAGAAGATAAAAGATTAGATATGTTTCATATTTACATAAAAAATACTAATATAACAATAAGAGTTGTTAGACTTGTTCATCAACTATATTTAAAAATACAAATATTTATCGTTAACTACTACTGCTAATATAATCACTAAGAATTCAAACGAATATTGTAAATCGATTATCGAAAGACATAATTATAAGTCATGCATATTACTAAATGGTATAGTATATAGGTTAAAGGTGAATTGTAATCTTAAAATAGAATTCTAATTAATAATCTATTAGAAGGAGTTTGGACAGTTACCAATAATATGTATGCCAGATGACATTCTTCTACATAATAACTAATGGACAAATATTAACAGTTGGCAGAAGTTTTAGTGTTGATAATTGTGTATCAATCGTAACTAAATAATTATCAATAAGATACTTTTACAAAAAACTATCTTGTGAAACTGATTATTTAACAAATATCCATATAAAAAATTCTTAGAAGAAAACGAACTAGTTATTTTTATTCGAATGAAATATCAGTTAATTGAATAGGAGTTGTTTTAAAATAATGATATAAATGAAGTTCATTAAATAATCGACAAGCAATTAAAAATGCTCTTCGATCTTTGTCTTTTTCAGCTTCCGGTAGATTTTCATATGGTGAAAGTAATTCTTTTGCTGTCCGATGTGCATTACGTTTAATCCAAGCATTATGAATTTTTTTCGATATTTTTTCGACTAAATCTCGATTAAATATCAGTTTTTGTCGAATACTTTGTAAAACTTGTCTACATGCAACTTGTGCTGTCGCTCGATTTTCATAAGCCCAATCAACAGGTAATTCATCATAATTCATATTTAAAATATCAACATAAGTTATTGATGAATTAAAACGAGCACGTGCTACTTTAAGATTTCGATGAACAAGACATGAACCAACAGTAAGAATCATTGGATAAATAAAATCCGATGAATTATAATGAGAACCATTTTGTGTTAATTTAAAACGATTTCTTGTATGTGGATGTTCACTTATATAATGTCGACGCCAATTTTCATGAAATGTTGATGCAACATTTTTAACAAATAATTTAAATTGTTTTTTTAATCCAATTAATTCAGTATTTGTAATTGAAAGATTTAGAAGAAGAAGGAGAAGAAGAACGTATGTGGATGATGTTTTTAGTTGCATGACCCATTCATTTAATGTCAAAAGTAAATAGAAAAGTAACTTAGAATATTAGCGAAAGATATCCATGATTGACATCTTGTCAACAACTTTGTCTTTTTTTTTTCTTCGTTTGTTATAGATTCAGAAGAAAAAATAACGACAGAAAACATACTTCGAAATAATCATATATATTACGAATCAGATATTTTGTTAAAATCATTTAATAAACTCTTTTCTAATTACACAATCAAAAATTTTCTTTTAAAATGACGAAAAGAAAATATATTTTTTGATTTGTAACAAAGAAAGAATGTTTTTTTAATAAATAAAAACGTACAGCTGGTGACAAAAAAAATATAATACGTATGGTGGGACAATGTAATTTTATTGAATATCATAAAGAATCCAGAAAGAAAAGAAAATATTGAATAAATAAATATTTATTTGATAGGAGTAGATGGGAATGTGAAATATATATCGCATCTTCACATTATGCATCAGATTTCAATGCAATATTTTTTCTCTCATTTCATTTTGTGTTTGATAACACAGTTCATCTGATTATAAAGAAAGTAGTTTCAATTGTTTTAAATGAAACTTTCACAATCTTACGAATAATATTGTATTGAAACGATAATAATATCAATGATCATAATTAATCAATAAAGTATTATAAATTTCACAGACATTTCCAATACATCATAGTAGAAAAAAAAGAATCATTTTCGTTTCTTAATTTCATACTGTTGTGTAATCATCAGAGTAATATTCAAAATATGACAATATCAACTGGCAAAATATACATTGTTTTTAAAAAATATTATTGTAAACATTCAGAAGACTATCGATAAGAATTTGACAAAATTGAAGTTAATCAGAACTTATTTTGATAATCACTTGCTAAACAAAGAAAGAGTTTATAACATTATCTATCTGTAGAACAAATTAATAAATGGGAATATAATTTAATCAAATAAATCCAAAAAGTAATAGAAATCAACGATGAGTCATTCGTGAAGAAAATTATTCTAATGAAATAACCATCAAATACCTCAATTCGACAGTATTGATATTAATGTGTTCGGGAAGAGAATTTGTATAGAAAATGAACAACAATATATGAGAAAAGTACTTTAACTTTTTTTGAGCTGAGAAAAAATTGAAGTTCTATCGATGAACAGTTAAAAAGGGTCTAGTTGAAAAAATCCATGATTTTTAACCAGATCTTTACCGCACTGAAGTCTTCATAACTTTTATTACATAGTATCAATAAATTCTATTTTTCATAAGCTTCTATTTGAAATTATAGCGATGTATCCGTGAAATAATATTATTTTCCACTATGTAGTTAAAAAGTCATTTGTTGCTGCAAGCACATCGATATTGTAATCTTTATGATATATTGTCTTTATTACGGAAAGTTCCATTTAATAACTGAAATAGAAAGCATGATTAAGTGTACTACCGAGAATAGTATATTTATTACATTATAATCATGATCTATAAATGATCAATTTTTAGCTAAATGTCTGTGGCTTTTACAATGAGATGAACGATATGGGTTTAATTATTCTTGATGGATATCGATTATATAAGATATTACTTTAAATATACTTTCAAATTTATTCTTATAAGCATGGCGCCACGTAAAACGCGTAATTTCTTATCTCAATATCATGTAAGTTCTCTCTTTCAATTGAATGTGTTAAACAAATACCTTCAACATCCTGATTCCTCAATTAGAAGATTTTGATTTTATTCTTATTTGTAGCATTCATCAAAAAATGAAATAAAAAATCAGAATTAAAAAGATTTATACTGAGCCAACAAATCAACTTTATGTTTTGTTTAGATCTCTGGAGGATTAACAAATATTCACAATGAAGTGGAAACTTTCTACGCTGGTAACTAATATTTAGATTTCAAAATAAGTAGCAAAGATTCATTGATATCATCAGAATTGAAATCTGATGATAAAATTAAGAATAAAGAGAAATATTCGATGTGTTTTTAATTGTTTTCTCAAAACATTGAATTCCAAAAAAAAGGTTTGTTTTAACTGCACTTTCATATATCAAATATTCATATTTGTCATATTTACGAGAGAAGAAATCCCTGGAGATCTACTACGATCGTCGTATTTTGCGATTCTAAAAATAGCTTTCTATATATCTTGATAGATAAATGTCATCGAGTAGATAACAAATTATTGTATCTTTTTCATATTATTCTTTGGAAGAACTGCATGTCTCTGTTTCTATAATTATTCTTCCATGACATATGGTTATTAATCATTATTTCCGTTGTGTATTTGTACAAGCTACAGTTAATGGATTTTTGCGATGCATGATATTTCTTTAGGGTAACATATCTTTTTCTCTCTGTCTAAATATCAGTTCTAAATATCAAGAGAAAACGAGAAAGAGAGAGAGAGATGTCTGCGTATATATATATATATATACAGTTGTCTCGATATATTTCATAGACATTAAGTAAAACTAGTATATTACTAACACATACAATGCTCAAATTCGCAGTATCCGTATTATTCTTTGGTGCAATATTTTTACTTACAAATACCAATGGTTTTTTTCTTCATTCTACACCAAAGTGTCAAGTTGCACTTTATAAAGGTGGTAAAGATTTCGGTGGTGAAAAAATAATGGCTAACAAAACATTCGTACCATATTTAAAAACAGTTGGTCAAGTAGCTAAAGCTTGTAAAGTTAAAGTTTTTGTTACAGAATCATATAAACAATTAAAAACTCCAAATGAATTTGTTTTATCAACAGAATTACCATTAGCACTTGGACATGCAATTCGTTTTAATTTACAAGATCCAAAAGGTGGTACTGTATGTAATAAATTATGTATGACAGCACGTTCATGGAAAACAATTCCTGAAGCTACTTGTTTTATTAATGGTGTTACCAAGAAAGGTATTCATTTTAAAGAACCAGATCTTATTTATGATGAAAAAGTAACAAAATTAAGTGCAGCTGATGCTGAAGCAGCTAAAGTCGGAACACAAAAATTATGTGCACCAAAAGTCAAACCAGACAAGAAAGGTTAAATATTATCAAAAAAATACAATTTATCTTTGAACTTTCTCAACTAGCTTTTTATCGAAATTAAAAATATTGAATTTAGTAGATCTTTTATATTAATCAACTTTATTTGTCAATTATTACTTTAATAAAATCATCTTAACTAAATTTATTATCAAAATAAACATACTTTATATTCTATTGTAAAGAGTATTTTATGGTATTAACATAGTCAATAATTCAATATGTTCATAATGAAGTTGTTTTTGTTTTTTGAATGAGACATAATATGCCAGTCGTGATATGGTTTATCTGTCGATAGTTAATAAGCTGGTAGATTATACAGGAATTTATTTTTGTGTACTCAAAAAGTCAGTACAGTTCTAGAATCGATCAGTGTGTCCGGCTGTATACACGATAACTTTCGAAAGGCTAAGCCGATTCTCATGAAATTTTATGCACAATTTAATCTCATCAAGATCTCGGTCGACTTCGAAGATGAGCTTAATTGGCCGGGCCATTCTCGAGTTATTGCAAAAATATTGATATTTCCCTATGATTTCTATATACACTTTTTGCAGGACACATAACTTTCGGATAAAATCCGAAGTTTCCACATTTATTTCTATTTAATTATACTTGACAATATCAGCTCTTTAATGCTAGATTAATCAGGGATATGCCACAAAGAAAAAAATAGGGGGTGGGCGCATTCCTCTCCGTCTACACCTCTAGGGCAGCACAATCCTGAAGTTAATCGTGTCAAGTACATATATATTTGTGTCTTTTCGAATTTCTTTTGGTCACAGCGTCTTTGTATGTTGCATAATATTCATGTGATTTTTTACTGAATTTGATTCGGGTCTTATTAACAACAGTTAGATAATTGATTTTTTTACTGGTTAATCATGTATCCTACAAATAAAATATTCTAGCTTTTAATCAGAACATATACATTTTGTTTAGTTCTTATAAATGTTACTATTACATTAGTTTCGATATTGATTAAAGAATACGTAGATGTTGATTTCAATTGTTTAATTTTATTAAATGATTAACATATGTTTGTTTTTTTCTTTCATAACAAAAAATATACAGAAATATTTTAATTTAAAGATCTTCATGTTTAGCTAAATATTGACGAAGATGAGCCAACATTTCTTTTTTAATTGCATCTGGTACAAGTGCTATAAATAAAAGAATATTTGTTTTTGTATGTCCAAGAAAATATATAAAGAATAAATTTTTACCACGTCCTTTTGGTGTTATTTCTTGTACAAGTTCATCGACAGTTAAATTTTCTAAACCTTTTTGTTTAACACTTTCTAAAAAAAATAATATTTTAATTTGAATAAGAAAATCATATTAATAAATACCTTTACAATAAGCTTTCATTTGATCTCTCCATCCATATTCTATTAAACGTTGTCTTAACAATTGTTTCATTCTATTTAGATAATATATATGTATAATTATATTTAAGAATCTTCTTCGTACTGTTCTCTTTCACCACTTTCAATTAATTTCGCATTAAGTGTTGCTCGAATTTGTGCACTTTTCTCAGCCATATTTCTTAATTAATAAAGAAAATTTTTTTTATTTTAAACTAAGAATTGTTCAATGATTGGTTCGTTGATAGACCATTGATAAATTCTTTTCCTACCATTGTATATATCAATGAGTCTCTGCTTGTTTTTTTCTTTTCTACTGTTTATGGGTGTGTTTCTTTACCAAACAAATAATATCTTTTCTCTTGGAAATTTTACAGTCTAATCTAATCAGCCTTCTTCTTGTCATTTCTTTTATTATATAAAGTTTAAAAAAAAAATTTCATTTATTTTTAGAAAAAAAATATATTTTCAATTCAATTGTAAATTCATTGTAAGATCTTTATCTGGTTTTGGGAAATAGAAAAATTTATATAAATGGCCACAGCGAGGCCTAATTATTATTGTCATAAATGCCAAGCACATATTGGACATGTGACGGTAAGATTATTTTTTTAAAATTCTTAATCAGTGAGATATTCAATAAAGTAATTAGATCTAACAAAATTTCAATTAACAGATTAGAATATTAATAATTTATCAATCAGTATTTCATAGATATGTAAAGAGATTTGATCTTTCACGAAAAAAATATAGTTTATTGATTGATTAAATCAATTAGAATATGAGATAAGTGTTAAATTCTATTGAAATTTGAAATTTTTAAATATTTTTCTAAAGTATAAGAATTATGTCTTTTAGGATCTTATATGTCCTCGTTGTCAAGAAGATTTTATAGAAGAAGTTCCACCTCAAGAGCCAACACCGTACGTTAATTATTTCTATCAATTAAATAAATAAATAAAATCAAGTAAAATTTTAGTCAATCTCGAATTAATCAAAGACGAACTGGTGGTGGATCATTTCAAATTCATGGTGCAACACCATTTGGTAATACAACAATAGTGATTGGTGGTGGACAATCACCTAATGATGGACATAATCCTCATGGAAACGGAGATTTAGGAAATTTTCTTCAGACTGTTTTAACCCAACTTGCCGGTGGACTTACTGGCGGTGGTGCAGTTGGTGGTGCACCATTCCCTTTGTATTTATTTTGTTTCTATTTATTTCTTTTAAAATCTAATTTTTATTTATTTCTAGTGTCATGCATAATGCTGGTGGTACAGCTTTTCTTGATGCAAATAATCTTGACGCTTTTCTTACTCAAGTAAAACTAATAATTATTTTAATAAAATTAAAAATCTATTTTTTAATTTTGAATAGTTTCTAAATCAAATGGGAGAAAATAGTGGGCCAGCTCCAGCAACTGAAAATCGTATAAATTCAATTCCAACAGTAAGAGTAACTGGTGAACAGGCTCGTATGTTTTATTTATTTTTTGTCTAAATTTAATTTCAAATAATTCTATTTAATAATATTAGGTGATAATCTACAGTGTGCTATATGCATGGATGATTTTAAAGAAAATGATGAAGCAAAACGTCTTCCTTGTTCACATCATTTCCATGAAGACTGTATATCACGATGGCTACGACTTGTAATTTAGATTCTTTTTATTTAATTGATAAAGATCTTTTTTTTTGTTTTATATTATTTTAGCATGGAACATGTCCAACATGTCGTGTAACATTAGATGGTGATAATACAACAAATCGTGAATATTTTAATTTACAACCTAATCAACAACAATCAACATCGAATAATAATAATAATCGTCGAAATGATGGAGATAATAATGGATCATCTTCATCTGCTGCTAGTGGAGGAGGATTTAATCCAGAATTTGATTAAATTAAATGTTTTGTGTGATTGTCTATGTATAATAAATCAGTCTTTTTTTTTCATCCCCTCTAAGGATCTTTATTCTTTTCTGGTTTTCTTTTTTTGTGTCATCGTCGCGATTTTTTTTTCTGTCGGAAATAAATGAACACAATATATACATCTGCAATAACAATAGATATATATTTAAAGAAAAATTATTTCTTTTTCGGCAATGTAAGATCTATATGCTTGTGTAAGAAGTCAATATTGAAAGATTGTCAAATACATAATTAAATTTAATACCTGATAATTATAGATTTAGTTGCGTAATTGAATGTTATCATCTATCTTTTAATCTCAATGGATTTTTAAATATTTAAAATCGAAATTATCAAATGAAAAATAAATAGAAAATTTGTCCTAACATGGGAATATACCGGTTCCCTATATAAATATATATATGTGTGTATTTTTATTGTTGATGTTATTTAATAAATAGATGATGTGGACAATAAAACAAAAAACAACAATTTATATTAAACTGTTGTGTTCTTTTTTTATGAAAAACTTTTCTTGTTATATGTTTACTGTTTTAGAAGAGCACCTCTGGAAATTCAAAGTGAACATCTTTTCCAGTGAGTTTTTTGTAAACTGATTGAAAAGCTGGAACCTAATAGAAATAAAAACTAATATATAATCTTTTTTGAAATTATCTAATTTACCTTGTTTTCAACAAGTGTTTGTTGGTTTTTATCGAGATGAACCTTGAAAAGACGTGATCCATCTAATTTTATACGAATACGTTTTCCTGTTATTTCAGCTGGATAAACAAGATCATGTAAAATAGCATCATGAACAGCAGTTAATGTACGACTAAACAAAATAAGCTTTATTTCGAGAACTTAAACTAAAAAAAACAAACGAACTTTCTTGGTCGTTTTTGTTTCGATTGTGTCTTCGATTTTCGTGTTGGTTTTGGTAAAATTCGACGCTAAAACACAAAATCAAGATATTTATTTTTATTTTTAATCATAAAAATATTTTACTTGTCCAAGAAGAATGACGGTTTGATTAAATTTTTTTTCAAGTTCAGAAACAAGTAATGAATGAACTCGTTGAAAATTTTTTACTTTAGGTACTGGGATATAAATTACTAAAGCTGATCGTCCATCACCAATATCGATTTTCTAAAAAAATAGAAACATGTTATTCATTATTAATATTTAATTCTAATTTGTAAACCTTTGCCCCAGTTATATAAAGTTCACGTAATTGACCTTTAAATTGTGCATTTCCTTCGAGTTCAGAAAATTGCTAAAACAAAAAAAATATAATTAAAGAAAATATTATTTTAAAAAAATATAATCGTACTTGTGAAACTTCAAGTTCAAGTGATGTTGGTGGTTCACTACCACTTTTCATGATTTTAGTATTTGTGCTCATCGTTATTGATGAATTAAGATTATTATCTAAAATATTTTTGTTAATTAATATTAGAATTTATTTTTTTTCAAAGAAATTTATCATGGAATCAAACAAAAAACAACTTATGGATTTTATGTATTCGATTCCAGACTTTACCAAATGATATTTTAGTTCTATCTTCTTCAATTGAATTTTGTTATGTAAAAAATTTCGCAAAGATATTTATTTTTATTCATAGAAAATATTGTTTATTTTTATAAAATTTAATTTTTTATAATTTAAAAAATATTACGAAGTTAACCAATCATTATGATAAAGTAATTCTCCTATAGAAGAAAAGAAAGCAGCTGATTGTGAATCATTAACATAAGTTAAACATTTCATCAGAATTATTTCTAACTTATGTAAGAATTTCGAATTTTTCAAATAAGACAAATAAATAATCAAATAGATATTTTATTAATAAAAATCAATTAGCATGAAATTAAAAGTGTTTCAATATCGATTGTTTTGTCTCTTGAATTGATTGATGGGAAATTTGATTTTTAATAGTTGAAAGTTGGGTTATATATTTTAATTTATTCTGGAATTATTCATTTAATGTGAAGCGGACGATAGTTATAACAAATCATCTTAGTTAAAATGAATAGATTTGTTTATTCATTTTAATCTTAAAATTATTTTATATATAATTTATTTCAAAGGACTAGTTAATCGAATGTAACTATTGAAAGAATGATAATTATATTTGTTTATTATCTATTGTAATTAATGTTAACAAATTAAATGAAAAATATTTTTATTTTTATGTTATGTAAATTTTGGTCTATAGAAAATAGTATTATGAATGACTCTGATATTTGACTAAAGTATAATCTCATCGAATAAATTTGAATAGTAAACGAAGATAAGTATAGTCGATAAGAATAGATTGCATCTAACTTGTATTCCATTTTAATTTCTCCTCTAATGTAAACAAAAGTATTCGACGAGGCCAATTTAGAATAAAAGAAATGTATTCATTTCCAAACAATGCTTAAGTATAAAAAGAAAACGAAATCGGCGAGGTATTTATCTTATCGAATGATGTTCTAGAACGACACATATATAAATATACGACAATGATTACATTCAAATGTCGTCGAGAAATCAAAGACTACGCCCATAAGTAAAAAGAATGAACTTTTGGTTTAAATACCATTCATTTATTGTAAAATACATACATTATCGAATGAACATTTGACACAATATGTTTAATCTCGTATGTACATATGAATAAACTCTTTTTTTTTCTTCTTTTACATAAGATATTCTAGATGTCACTAGATTGTTCGCTCCCTCCATTTGACAATTGAAACAAAATGGCTTCTTACTGAATAGCCTCAATGACTGATGGTTACTCTTTTCAACTCGTGATCGTTATCGTCATTCTTTTTTCTTTCCTTTCATTGATATGTTTTTCTTCTGGAGTATTCATGTCAAAAATGGTGATGTAAAGCGATAAAAAAACATTTTTTTTTAATAAAGTCGTCATATCTATAGAGAGAGAGGGAGGGGGAGAGAGAGAGGAAAAAAGTCTATAAAAAGAAAATGTCGACTGATTACTTTCTTCTTTTCTATGAGTGTTATAGGCAGAGAAAAATATATCTATATTACACTTTTTTTTTTGGTTTTAGAATAAACAGGCCAATTGTTTTCTCTAATATCATCATGTTGGTATAATTTTTCATCACATTTTTGTTTTTCAATAAGAAAAATTCTCTATCAACGAGCAACTGCGACACACAGCAGACTCTTTTTATTGTTTTCGATATATATTAATTATTAACATCGATCCATCATGTCGACTATGTCGTTTTATTTTCCAAAATATTTAACCTATGATGAGTATCTAAACCAAGAGTAAATGATATTTACTTTAATAGCGACATTAGTCGAACAATAACAAAAATAAATATTTCGCAATTGGACAGCAAGAACAGTGCTGACCAAAAACAACAGCAGGTGTGTGAGATATAAATAGATCATTATATGTGTTTTATTTTAATTTTAGGTGATAATCAGTGGTTTTATAGAAATTTCTTTGTATAAATCTCCTCATCATTACAATGGTCGTTGTCGTATTGGGCCTTCGAACATCAGGACTAACCTTAAGCACACTTACAACATCATTAGAACGATTATGTTCGAAAGAAGATCGAACATGGAAAGAACGTGTATTTAACCAAACAAAATTAGTACGTCATTTGTTTTTTTTTCTTCTTCTCCTTCTTTTCTTAGTAATCCATCAATCTTAAACGAAGGCACAAAAATATAGATACGTATTTCATCTATAACTTTATTGACCTTGTTTTACATAACATAACATCACTTGACTATTATTCATATTTATTAAAAAGGAAAGCAAACATAACCATTTTCAAAAAGAAAAAGTCAAATAAAGATAAAAAAAAAAGTAATGTTTATATGTTATGATAAGTAATAAGAATGAAGAGAGCGAGAAAAAAACGATTCATTCTTGATAAATAAAGTCAATAGAAAAAAAGATTGATATGTTTTTCTTTTCTTTCTATAACATAATTCTATTTTTAGGACGAAGTCAATAGTTCTCAACGTAATCATGCATCAGTATGGCTTCGTAAAATTGCAGCATCGATGAATTTTGGTATTGATACATACGCACTTAGTGTTGATTTACTTGATCGATTTTTAGCAACACTTAAAGTAAAATATTTTTTTATTTTTAATTAATAAAATATAAAACTTCTTTTTTTGTGTTTTTATTTAAGGTTCGTCCAAAATTCTTAGAATGTTTAGCTGTTGGTTGTTTATATATCGCAGCAAAATGTAAAGAAGAAGATGATACAATATCAATAACACCAGAATTTGTTATCGATTGTAATGCAACATGTTCAGCTAACGAACTTCTCCGTATGGAACGTTTAGTTTTGGAAAAATTCGATTGGTTTATAGATTTTGTTACAGCAATTGATTTTTTACAAATTGTAAGAACAAAAAATTAAAATTAGTTGATTATATATTTTTTTTTTGTTTTTAGTACTTTGCTCTTTTATTATTGAAAGTTGAAAATCAAGCAGAAGAAAATAATGAAAAAGCTATTGTGGAAAAATACATTGATTTAGAAATAAAATTAGCATCATGTTTACAACATCATCGTTTAGCATCATTTAAACCTCGTATACTTGCTTTGGCTCTTGTTAGTTTGGAATTTGAAAAACAACAAGCACAAGAATCAGAAATGAATACGGATTGGTTGGCTTCAATTACTTTTTTACAAGAATTAGCTAACGTAAGATAAAATAAGAAATTTTTTTTTTTCAAAATCTATTTTTCATTTTTTTCTTTAGGTTGAAAGTGATGCATTATTATCATGTCGAGATTTAATCGTTCGTTTATTACCATCATACAAGGTTGTTCGATTGGAACTATCTGATTTAACATTTATATCCCATGCATATAAACCATTAAAACCATTGATGAATTTATCTGATCGACCAACCTATGCTGATGTTGTTTGTGGTCGCACTTTTCCTCTTGTCCAATAAGTTTGTGTATTTTTTTTTTCTTTTTTCCTTTTTTTTTAAATTTATATGAAAGCATTAAGAACAAACACCAAAAAAAAATATGAAATAAGTCAAAAAGAAGAAAAAAAACACGCCGACTTTTTGTGCTTCGTTTATTTTTTGCCTTGTTTTTGTTTAATCCATAATCGACGTTTATTGTCTGATATATAAATCTATTCTCCATACGATTCAAAAAGAAAAACTGAGAATGTATTCCATCTAAACAAAGTAAGTGGGTATGGCATTGGTTGGTTTATCTATTGGAGAATGGATTTTATTTATTTTGTCCTATATATATATATTTTTTTGTTTGATATCATCATATGTATAAAAACTGTATATATAAATAGCTAAGATCTCATTATAAACATTAACTTCACTATACGTTTTCCCCCTTTTTTTTTGTAATATTTATCTATAGAGCTTCATTTTTTTTT